TTAACCTCTTGTGTGTCCATTTTGAAAGTGAGAGAAGGGCCAGAGAAAGTGAACAAATGCTCCCTTTTCTTGACCCACCCTGTGGCTCTTGACACTAAGCAATCTCTTCCCCGAGAGAGTATTAATTTCCAGGAAAAAATCCATTTGAGGAAAGACTTGAAATCCAGACACTTGGTTAGCTCTCTTGAAAAGAGAGCTGCTCCATGTGTGTTGGGGGGCAGGGTGGCAGGTGTTAAGAGGAAGCTAAAGGTAGGGGCTGGGTCCAGGAAAGGAATGGCTGTGAACTAATGATAGTGTTACCCAACGTTGCCCCATTTATAAAGGAAACTCAGCAATCAAGGAGCTGCTCTCAGCTTGACTCCGTCTCTCCTGTCCCTTCTCCACGTTTTTCTCCCTCTCTAGAACCCCTTTCCTGTCTATGGGCTTCTCCTCACGCCTGTCTGGCATTGCCGAGCCCAGACTCAGTCTCGCTAGGTCGGTACTGGTGTGTCCTTTCCGACTGGTACTCAAGGGCACTCGATTCTTCCTCCATCCTGCTCCCATCTGTGCCCACAGATTCCTTTCCATTCCACAGTCCTGAGATGGCCTGGGACTCCTGCTTCAGCTCCTGACCATTCTCCCCACTCTCATCTCCCCCACTGCCACCCATCTCCCAGGGCATCTTTCAAAACCACAGAAGCATCGATGGCTCCAAGCCCCTTTCTTTACCCCTCCTCTCTTTTCCCTGCACTCTGTCCCTAGGAATCTCACCTCCCTTGCTCCTTTGGGTCCATGCTGGAAAATGTCCAGAACTCTATGACTCACCCAGTCTCCCATCTGCTCTGCAGGAGACACGCCTAGCTGTGAAAATGGCAGCTCAGCCGGAAGTCCGCCCAGCACCTCAAACAGTCCAGTCAGCTTCTGTTCTGGATCATTTGAATATCCACTTTGTTTATTTGGCTGCTCGTGTCATTAATCCAGTTTTTAATGCTCTGGTTTAATTCTTATTGGCTGAAAGTAGTTCTTTATATATTCTTTGGAGTCATTTCCTTCCAATTCCTTCCGCAAACCCCGTGTTCCTCTTCCCTTGGCTCCTCGAATCTCAGGTGTAGCCCAACTCGTCTGAGTATTCCCAAGGCCACACCTCCACCCCAGGTGATTCCCATGCCCCTTCTTTCATTCTCCAGTTAGGCTGGTGTCCTAAAGGCAGCAGTCCTGACAGGGTGGTTAAAACCGCAGGCCTGGAAGTTAGAAACCGGTTTATTTCTTACCCACTTCCCAGACCCAGTTAAATCATTCAGTCTGTCCGAGTTCCAGTTTCCCAGTGTGAAAACAGGGATATTAAAAGTACTTTTCTCCACAGCTCCCCTTAGAACTTTCTGACCTGCTCCAACCCTGGGGTCCTACCTCTGCTTTCCTCTCTTCCCACCTCTGGATGGCAAGGGAAGTCTTCCCAGAAGCCATACGGCCACTTGGTCACATCCCCAAGAGCTGGAGGTCACTAAGTAGGTGACAAAGGACAGGGGCTGTGCTCTGCCATTAGCGACAGTGAGGACGTGGGAGTGCCCAGGGCTGAGGGTGAGTCTACACACAGCTGGCCCTTAGCCATCATTCCATGGTCAGCAGTCGGGTAAGGAAGCAGCAACAGAATAAACATGGAGGCCAGAGGGCAAGATGAGGCTACAAAGGCAGAAGGTGACTTACAGGACAGGAACTGATGGACAAAGCCCGGGATGTGGTAGATGAAGCAGATCGTGGCAGCTGTTTGGAAATGGAGGAAAGGGTGAGGGAAGTAAGCAATCTCCAGAATATTTGGAAATATTCTAACTTGAGATTGCTCCTATGAAATAATCTAACAAAAAAAAAAAATTCCAAGCCTCAGAGCAAAGCGGGGAGGGCCCCAATGGACTGTGGGGGAGGCTCGCTGGTGCTTTCCCAAGACGTGGGTGATAACATACCTGTGGAGGAGCCAGGAGCTGCGCTCCCAAAACATACACAGTCTTGTAACCCAACATTACCTCAATAAACATAATTTTTAGAAACAATAAATATAGTTTTAAAATGCAGACATGGGGGGGATTTCCAAGGTATATATTTGTGGGCTTGGCTAGAACCAAGTGAATAAGGTGGAGATTACGGGGGCTAGGAATTGTGTGTGGGGCAGGGGTAACAGGAAGAACTTCCACTTTTACTTGGGGAGGTAGGAGCCATGGGAAGCAGCTGAGAATGGACCGAGAGGGAGAAACAAGGCGGGAGCAGAGAGACAATTGCGAGACTTCAGCCATCATCTGGGAAGGAGGGGTCAGCAAGGCCTGGGGTGCAGCAGTGAGGACGTGGCGAGATGGGTCAGAGCCTAGAACGCCATGGGATCTGCATAGATTCCAAGGGGGTGGGGGCATAAAGGTCAAGAGTGGAGGAAGAAGGATGCTAGAGCTGTCGGAGCTAGAATGGATTTGAATTAACTAAATGGGGAGGGGGATTATGGCTGCAGTAGAGTGGGAGAGAGGTGAACCAGAAATTCCATTCTGGACACCATCAGATTGGGCTCCAGGTGACTGGTGAGGGAGGCGGCTGCCAGCCTCGCTGCCAGGCGAAGTGGCCTGGTCCTACAGGAGTCAAAGGTAGAGGTCTGGAATTGTGTTTGTTGGACCATGAGTCCATTTCCTCCCCAGGAAAAGGCTGATGTGATGCCTAGTCATACAAAATGGGTTGTCCAAATCCAGGGGTTTGTGAGACACTCCGTATCATGTCCACAGACCATCCTCACCACTTTCCTAACCACCCCTTTCAGCCCCTCCCGCCCCCTCTCGCTGCGGTGGAGAGCAGCCATCTCCCACCCGGGCCTCTTCTGAGCTTCCCCTCCTTGCCCGTGAATTCAGAGGCTACTGAAGCTTCTCTCTGCACAGTCCACATCGAGTGCAGAGCCTGCCTCCACAAGTTTCACAGTTAAAACTCACTTGTGGCTGACTGTTGAACCCACCAGGGCCTCCTTGTGAGAGAAAGAGCAGGAAAAGTCTAGCCAGCTGCAAAAAAAAAAAAAACAAAAAACAAAAAAACCACAATGGACAAATTCACCAGCCACAGAGGCCTTGTGTGAACTCCTAGACAGCATTTATTCTTCATTTTACAGGCCACTTAGTGTCGCCCACAGATATCAGGACACCAATTTATTGAGATTGGACCTGAGCTGTGATATAGAAGACAAGAATAAAACCCAAGAAAAAAAGTCTTGAGAAGGAACAGAACTTCCTCAAACTAGGCTTCTGCCCCAGGGACAGCCCAGCTCAGGCTTCCTGCCAGGTGGGCCATGGTGTAGAGGATGGAAGACCCAGACAGTGAGGGCACGTCTGCCAGTGCAGGTGCCCGCAGCCCTGTGCCCTCTGTGCCTGCTGATGGGGCTGCCCACAGCGCTCACAGGCTGCCCCAGCCCTGGACCTGGTGTCTCCCTTCTCCTCTCAAACTCTCAGGGACTTGGGAGTGCACCTGCATGGACCTAGGTAGGTGCACCAGCAGTGTCTTTTCCCAGCCCTCTGCCCTGCCTGGATCAGCCTTCAGCTAGTGGCCCTGTGGACATGGCACTTGCTAGTGAAATCAATTTTTTTTAAGATTTATTTATTTATGCATATAAGAACTGGGGTACAGGCCAATGGTATGTGGGCGGGAGGATTCACCAGAGAGAGAGTGGGGAGCAGAACAGGCAGACTGATGAAATACACTACTGAGGGGAGCAGCAGGTGAGATAGGAGAGGTCTGCTGCATCATGTGGGTTGCTCCCTGGGCGGGGATTGAACTCCTGCTGCAGTGACTGCAGATAGCTTCATAGTGCTGAGACTTAACCCCTTGTGCCACCAGGGAGGCCCTGAGAGTGTAGCTGTACAAATATTAATTGTCTTTCTTTGTGTGTTATATATCTAAAAATGGTTTCTTTTTAGAAGCCACCTGCATGAAGGCTGCAGTCTCCTCAGCACCCCCCAAAGGTGTTGTCCTTGCTTGGAAGGTCAAAAATGCCCTTCTGGAGACTGCAAAGCTAAGCTTTCCTTGCAGAAATGATCTTTTCGCTCCAATGCTAACTCTGTCAATGCTGAAGAGAGACGGGAGGGGAGAGGTAGGAAGGGGGTGGGGATTTATAAATGGACAAAAGGCAAGGTTGCCTGAGTCACGGTGGGATGGGAGTTTGGCCTGGGGCATGGGCTCCTGAGAAGGCAGGCAGGGAAGGAGGGAGGGAAGAAATGACAAACATTGTAGACACTGGTGAACATCTGGGCACAGTGCCAAGTGCTATTCCAAATACTGTGTACATGTGACTGGTTGGCTCCTCAGCTACCCCTATGACGTGGCTCTGCCATCATTCCGCCTGTCTCAGAGGTGAGGAGGTGGAAGCTCCAGAACAAATTCTAGCAGAAGTGCCCACCAGGCAGCAGTGGACCCCATGGGCCATGCTGTCCTCACCCCAACCCACCCCAGCTCATCAATATTCCCTTCAAAAACTGCATGTCCTTGCTTGGAAGCCTATGCCAAGAAGGGCCCAGAATGTTCCCCGCAGAATGTTCTGCCAATATTCACCCTCCCCCCACACTGAGCCCTTATGACCCAGGGTCCAGTGTATTGCTGTCCATCAACATTAGCTGTGGTTGACAGAGCAGGAACATCAAAGGGAGGGGTCCACCGGAGGAATAAGGAAACAAATGAAAAATCGAGTGAAAAGTTCCCAGCTGGTGCTGATACCTGAGGCTGCACAACGTGCCTCACAGCCCACCCCCAACCCACCCACCTCCAGTCAGGCAGGGCAAAAGCCCATCGCCCCCAATTCTTCCATACCCTTGGAAGCTGCGGACTGAGCTCCAGACTAGAAAGTCACAAGGACTTCAGCCTGACCCTTGAGGCCACGCTTCCTTCCTGGCCAGCGTCCAAATCTTCCACGCCCCAGTGGTAAAGTCTTCCTTTTCCTTTGTTGAATAAATTTTGGATCATTCCAGAGCCCAGCTAGAGTTTCAGGAATCAGGAGGCGGGTAGCAGGAAGCTGAGACAAAAGACTGAGGTAGGCAGGGGCCCAGAGGCTCGTGAGGTCTGCTCCAGGCTTTATTTCCTGGTTCTTGCTGTGCTCTGGGCCCAAACCATCCATGGGGGATGCAAGACACAGCCCACAGGGTATGAAAGCAGAGTTCCCTGCCGGAGAGCATGGTAAGCAGGAATGGGGGTGCTGGAGCAACAAAGGGGAGCTGATGGAAAAGGGGGAGTTATAAAGTCCCCCCACGGTTCCTTTGACAGCTGCCCATGGCAAGAGAGGACCGTCTGCTTTCTCAGTGTCAATTACAGAGATGCTGGGGTCATGGGCCGAGGCTGTGTGGGGTGGGCGGAGGTGAGGAGAACCCTAGCAGCTCCTCGCCGGAGTATGGGGGCTCCCGAGAGGAGAGGATGCAGGAGGCGAGATTCTTAGGAAGCCCTCAAGCCACACTCTTCCCTGTGCCAGCCCCTCCCTCTTTACAGAACCCACTGCAGGTGCTGACTGCCTCCTTTGCCCACCACAGAGCTGGCAGCCACCCTGTACAGCAGTCACGCGCAGGTCGTGTTCCTCAAAGCTTCAGGCCAGGGCCCACGGCTGCAATGCCTGCAGTCGTGGTGCTTTGATGACCGCTACTGTCTGCAAGGGGCAGAAGCCACAGGTTCACGGGCAGAAGCCACAGGTTCACGGGCAGCCTCTCAGGCTCACAATGCCCATGTGGCAGGCACGTGGGACCAACATCTTCTCACTCATAACTCCGTGTTTGTGCCTCTTGATGGACGTGTCCTTGTTTGCGTCTCTCCTCCCCCACCACGAGCACAGCAACCCAACAGGCAAGATTTCCAAGGGTTGGAGCGATGGTCAGAATGTGTGCCCCGGGTTCAAGGGAGGTAAACACAGCAGACTGAGAGCCAGTCTGCCTGACGTGGAGGCCAGAAATATCCTTTGTTAATCATTGATGGGTGAAGCCAGGCATTCTGTATCTTTTGAAATTCCCCATGAACCCTAGTGCTGAACTCTGAACTTGGAGCCAGAATCAACTGACCTTTGTCCTTGCAGCAAACACCTCGGCCTGATCCGGTTCCACAGAAGGAGAGCAGGTGTGAGGCTTTGCTCTGTGAAGCGGGACACCTCCCATCTTGCTGTAGACCCATTTGAGCCCAGGACACCCTGACGCACCCCACTCACCACAGCAGCAGTGATGGGTCAGGACATGGAGGAATGGAAGCAAGAGTTTCAGACATTAATTCAGGAGGTAAAACCAGGGCACAGATGGACCCTGACACCAGACAAATACCTTCTTCCCGACAACCTGAAGCCTGGGTGGATACAATACCAGCAGCATACCTTCGCCAGGTGAGTGCAAAATCTGATGGCGCATATCCCAGAAGAGTCTGGCTTATTTCTTACTGTGGATACTTTTTGCTTTCTTTGATGCTATTCCATGCTTGCAAATCGAAGATTATAGAAGGTAAAATACCTATTATCCAGGAAGTTTTAGCTTCAGCCAAAGTGGTTTTTCTTTTCTTACGATGAACCCCAAAACAAGAGCAGGATGAGCACAGATGTGGGCTAACAGCAGATACAGAGAAATAAGGCTGGGACAAGGAGGCAGAGAGGAAAAGAGAAAGGGAGGAGTAGCAACAGTTTCACTCAGTCCTGGGAGACCCGGATGAGCAGACTCAGTGAACATACATTCTGCTTGGGTTCTGGGGCTCCATATGAGAGCCCATGAAGACGCCCTCTAGAGAGAGGGCAGAGCACAGAGGGAACTGGGCAACACAGCAATCTTGCCCCTCATACTCTGGTGGAGTCTTTTTTAAAATAGGACTGTAGAAGTCATCCAAAGCTCTTTCTAGGTGGAAGAGCAGAGCCACAAGGATGAGGGTGGTGGTTGCCCACCTGCACAGAGAGTGAGGTTCTGGAACTCTATCCCTGGACTGGCACAGGGGCTGGCTGCCTGTGTGATACCCTCTCCAATCCTGACCACCTCAGGCTTCAAGTGTCCCCACATCCATTCAGGCAAGGCAAGGCTCAGTTGCTATAACAAAAAAGAAAGAGAGAGAGAGAGAGAGAGGAAGGGAAGGAGGGAGGAAGAAACCTGAAATAGCGTGTGGTTCCCAAGTCACTGTGGCAGAGGGAGGGAGAACTGGAGGGTTTTGCCAGGCTTCTGTTCCAGATCTGGGAGTAGCATAAATCATTCTGTCCTTACCCCACTGGCCAACTGGTCACATTGCCACAACCTAGCTGCAAGGGGAGCGGGCCATGGTGGGAGTGCATAAGCATTCAAAGTCCGGCCATACTGCTGCTCTCTGCACCTCCTGTAACTGCTGGTGCAGCACGTGTTTCCCTGCATCTCTCCCACTGCTTCATACGGCCAGGCCTGTATTTGTTCAAATTTCTTAACTCAGAAAATTGCCCTTCTCCTTGCTGAGAGGGGGTGTCATTCTCTTATGCCCTGCTGAGGCCAGGGGCACCTAGGAAAGGAAGCTTTTCAGGCTACCTTGAGCAATGAATTGGGTTGGACCAGTCGGGCCAAAAGAGGGAAGAACTGATTCTGTGGTCTCCCTCTGAATTTCTGGTAGATCGGGGGCCCTGGGTAACGAAGGCAAAGCAGAGATTTCCCCTAGACATGACTGTTCAGGGGCCATCCCAGATCTGTGGGTCAATGGCTTATTGTCTTAGTCTATTCAGACTGCTATAAAAATAAATGAACAAACAAACAAAAAACCAAACAAGCAAATAAATAAATAAAACCTACTGACTGGGCAGCTCATAAGCAGCAAAAGCTTATGGCTCATAGTTCTGGAGGCTGGAAATCCAAGCTCAGGATGCCAACTGATCCTCTTCTGGGTCCCAGACAACAGGGGTTGGGTTCTCCTCTTCTGGGTCCTGGCAACAGGAGTTGGGACACACTGGGGATCTCTTTCCTCAGGGCACTAACCCCATTCAGTAAGACTTCACCCTCATGACTTAATCACCTCCCAAAGACCCCCCTAACATGAGCACTTTGCCATTAGGACGCCAATATGTGAACTTCGGAGCAACACAAAATTCAGATTCCAGCACTTACCAAAACCCACTCGTAGCTATTGGTGGGTCTCAGCTCAGAGTTCTTGGCAGCTGACTGAGTGCCTGTTGTTGCACTTGTTCACGAGCTGCCCACACGGTCGGTGGCAGATCACTGCCAGCTCTGCGGCCTCTTGATCTGCTCTTTTGAGGGTAGATTCCTGTGGGTCTCCATTGTGGCAGTACAATGGAGAAAGGAGCAGAATCAATGATTCCTTCCCCACTAATCCATGACCTGGACCAAGTCAGCCCTCTGTTGTTCGTAGCTCCTTCCCTCTTGCAGCCACAATTTGGACAGAATGAGCCGACTGAGTGTCTCGTCTTCTGCATCCACAGGTTCCAGTGTTCCTTGTGCTTGCGAAGCTGGGCCTCTGCCCATGTGCAGGTCCTTTTCCACATGCACAGGAGTGAGGGGGACTCCAGGGGCGAGGTGAAGATGAGGGTCTTTGCCCAGAGATGTCAGAAGTGTTCCCAGCCTCCCTTTGAGGCCCCACAGTTCATGAAAGAGAACATCTCGCGGATCCTGAACAACCTGGTATTGCGCATTTTGAAGAAATGCTACAAAGAAGGATTTAAGTTGGTGGAGATTCCCACAATCAAGGAAGTCTCTCTTGAAGGACCACATGATAGTCACAACTGTGAGGCGTGTCTGCAGGGCTTCTGTGCCGAGAGTAGGTCAGGCCCAGTCAGCCCAATAGTACAGCCCCCAGTGTCCCCACTGCTTCCCCAAATAAGCTCACAGCCTGGGAGGGTCACCTCCCAAAAGCCTTTTCCCACAAGGAGTAGCCCCAGCCCCATCGTGGATACAGTAAAGAAAGAAAAGAGGCTACCCAGTCCCCAGCTTTCTGGGCCCACTCAGGCTGTGAGCTACCCCACTTACTGGATCCCAGAAGCAAACACCGGACACGATGTAGCACCCCCCTCCCAGGAGCTGTCCTCTCCCCACATGGCCCAGAATCCCACACACATGAGTTTGTACCTGTGCCGCCGTGTTCCCATCCCCGCTGTCATCATCATCATCATCATTGTCGCTGTCTTTCTAACCAAGAAATCTTGGTTAGAAAGCTGAGCCTCCAAGACAATCACACAGGAGCGTGTGTTGTATTATCCCACTGACAGGAAATGTTCAAAATAGGTCAATCCAGAGACAGGAAGTAGATTGGAGGCTACGGGAGGGGGTGAAAGGGGAGCAATGACTTTCTATGCAGGCTTTGGGGAAGTGTGATTACAGTGTTTGGGACAAGGCAGAGGTGGTGGCTGCATTGTGAAGGCACCAAATGCCACTGAAGGATCCACTGTGAGAGGTTCAGCTTATGTTATGTGAGTTTCACCTCAATTAAAAAAAAAAAATAAACACAAGAAATTTGGTGCCCTGTCATTCATTCTCTAGAGAACTGACACTGATGTGTATATAGCTCACAGGACCATTCGGAAATCTTCTGAAATGTGGGTCCACTCACCAGAAAATTCTGCAAGGCCCTCTGATGTCAGTCTGTGGGGTCTTTGTGATGGAAAATTTGAGGCTAGAAACCTGGGTCCTGAAGCAGCGGTCTCCACGCAGCTGAGGGGGGCAGTGGGACCGTCGACCAAGGTGGGGAAGACACCCTTAAAGCTCCATTTAGCTCACGATTTCTTGTTGCATCTGTTACAATGTATGTTTACATTACATGTATGTTATGTTAGTATACTCATAGGAGAGAAGAGAGATATGATGTATAAATCAATGCACACATTTGCAAGACATGCTCAGGTTTTCATTGATAGAATTACACAGTCAAAAACATTGGGGGGACCTCTGTTCTAAAGGACCCATGTGGAAATCTGTGCTGGATTCTCACCAGGATTCTGAAAACAAGAAGTTTTTAGTGATTAGTTTAAAAAACTTTAAAATTCACTCGCACATATTTTCTTCATCAAGAAATACAAATCCTTCCATTTATGTAATTTAAATTAACAACACTGTCACCTCTTTCTTAAATTTTTCTTTATTTTCAAGGTTTTAAGGAATGCTTAAACTCTGAAAACTGTTCTCAGAGGCCATTATTAACCCAATCACTTCAAGTCAATAGAAAAACATGCAAACGCTGGTAACTTGGTGTAGAGGGATGATTGGCAAAGATCATTGGCCTCTTCAAAATTCAAAAAACATGTTCAGAAAGTCATAAAAATAAACATTCTGTAAGTGGGAACCCCAGATCTTATTTCGGACTGATTCATTGCTTGTACCTGGGCTGCAGGAGCTACTGGGGAGACTGCTCACAGCTGGAATTAGAGATTAGCCACTGATGTCCTGACCCCCCATATGTGCTGCTTGCAAAGCCATGGCTCTGCCAGTTGGTGCTCAATGCTGGGTCCTCTTGGTCCCCCACCCCCCCAAGCCACCCCATGAATTTTGTAATCAAGACAGTAATTTATGTAATATCCTATCTTCTTCGGTTCAGTTACCAATTTAACTGATTTCTGTCCTAAGAATTAAGAGTAGTGTCCAGCATTCAGCTGTCATTTGCTCCCCCTGTGATTTATATCACACTAAAATAAAACAACTCAGGTATCTCAGTTTTTCATTCAGATGACATAGTTGGATATTCTAAGGGGAGACATTCAAGCTGGTACAACTTGGCACCATTTCAAGTTTTAAAATTTAGAAATAATTTCCTAAATGTTAGAAATAAATCCAAATACACACCATAAAATAAAAATTTAAGCCTACATGCAGCATAGAACAATACCTCAAACTATCTAAATTTCCTTCCCACTCAGAAGTATGGAGATGCACACTGGGGCAGGGAAAAAGAGGAGAAGCAGACAGAAAAGGAAAGTTAACAGCTGATTTCTGGAGCTACTGTGTGGTCATCATAAATTACCCCAAAATGGTGTTTGGCAAGCATGTCAAGCAGTCATTCTAGAAAGAAAGTCAAAAAAATCTCCTGTGGATCTTGCTAATAACTGCACAACTCAATCACTTCACCTAAGTGTCTTTGCCCCTTAACTTCAATATATGGAGAATGGTAGAATAATAAGCTTTTGGAACCGGAAAATTTCTTCTAAGAAGTATATTTTATTTTTTCATTCATATTGCATTAATGTTCATACATGTATCCCACCACGGAAATTACTTTAACAAATTATGTCAGTCCACATACATCATATAAAATGTATTTTTACATTTATATGAATATATTAAACAGTAGGGTATTCAAACAGTATAATTGTTTTATATGAAACATGAAACAGTATCAATGCAGTATTTTTTCATCTTTCTATATGTAATACCAAGACGAGGTCTTTGCACACACAAAAAAATGGGTTTAATGAAATAAAATTTATATAAGTTATAGATAGTCAATTTGTGTGAAAGCCCCAGATATAATTTCCATCTGGCCATGTAACATATACCTTGGCATAAAATAAAATCCCAAAATGAATCAAGTAATACAATAAATTTGAATTATATTTTTAAAGAGTTAAAAAGAAAAATATAATTGCTTGAGGTTCAATTGAAGTGATTTCTCATTTTCCCACTCTTTTATCTCTAAATCTACTCTTAGAGCTTGTTTTTAAGTTGAAGCAATCCTCTATTAAAGGTTTATTTTACCACGTGGTTTTACAATGTTCTGCTGTTTTATAGATATTAAGGATAAAATATTTGGAATTATGACATAAGCTTATCAAGACAAAATATTGGGGTGTCAATACTAACTTTTTTTTTTAAAGATTCGTTTATTTATTTATTTATTTATTTATACAAGCACTGGGTACAGTCAGAAGTGCAGGAGGGTGAGAGAATTCACCAGAGCCAGAGGGGAGAGCAGAACAGGCAGAGTGATGAAATACACTGCTGAGGGGAGCAGCAGGTGGCAGGAGAGGTCTGCGCGCCATGTGGGAACCTCGCCTGGTGGCTGGGGATCGAACCAGCGCTGCAGAGGCTGCGGGCAGCTTCACAACCCAGCGCTCAACCGCTGTGCCACCGGGGAGGCCCAATACTAACTCTTTTTAAATGAATGCCTCTGGGGACAGACTGATTCTTCAAATAAGAAAAAATTTTAAAAATCACCTTTCATTTCTTGCACAAATGACTTCCTGAAAAGTCCAACTGGTCAGACTTGTGTTGTCAAATATGGCTGCCACCTATGACTCCTTACATTAAAAATTTAGTTTCTCAGTCATACCAATCATTGTCCAAGAGTTCAAGAAGCACATGTGTCTGATGATTACTATATTGGATAGAGCACATTTTCATCATTGCAAAGAGTTGTGGTAGACAGTTCTGGGCTAGACCATATAGGAGTCAATTCATATATAAAAACATGTGAATATATGTGTTTTTTCCTTCTTACTCACAAAAGCTACTTATTGAAGTGTATCTTCAAGGCTATGGAGCTTATATATTTTAGCCCAAGACAACAGTATAAAAATACATGCTTGTACAATTTCTCTGAATCATAGACTATGTTGTTAGAGTCCAAAACCCTGCAATAAATCCTTCTTTGCAAATGTAAAACATAGCTGCATTCACTCCTGCTGGGCCACAGTATTCCGGCCACTGCTAAGTCCTCCTGTGGAATCACAAGGCAGCATCACCCGGGTCTCCTCGTCAGGGTGGACCAGTCACCATGGCCATCGCATATGGCCACATGGAGAGGGGTCTGAGGGCATCACCTGCAGAGGCGAGCTTCAGGCGGGGCACTCAGGGCAGGTGGCCAGCTATGCAAGCCATGTAAGGTTTGCCTTGCCAAGTCCAGCCCCAACTTCCTCTGCTAGGGCCACCAGCCCACCATGGATATTCCAGCACTTCTTTCTACCCCCAAGGCCCAGAACACACCCACGTCTCTCCTGAGAGCCTACACTTGCAAAATATAATTGAAAACATACGGAAATAGCAATGTGTATAAATCTAAGGAAAATTATTCTCAGTAAAAGAAATAATGCATTAAAAACATTTTTCAAAATAATAAAATAAACCTTTGTCAGACTAGTCAAATATAAGTGTTCTTAAGCCCTTTGTCCCTTGACTTGTGAAAACAATGCAATCAACTTCAAGATTTGGTCTTTAGGTTATAATTTTCTAAAACAATACACCTTTTACATTATTTGGAAACAAATATATGCACATGCATCTTTAAATGTCAATATATAAACACATTTACCAGTTCTCCTGTCCACAGAGAGAGGTATTCATGTATTTGAAATTTAAAGATCATTTTCCTAATAATTACGATCCGGTTTCTAGTCTTTGTCCTTAAGAATAAGCCATTATTCCTACATGACATGACCCACAATGTGAAGTTTATAGATCCACTCGGTAGGGAGTTTCTTCTGAGGGATGGTATCAAAGCTGAAGGCTAAAAGATACTTTGGTGGTATAGCTGGGCACAGATTCTATAACAAAAGGAAAAAAACATACTCAAGCATTCACCATTTATTATAAAGGTAACTACTAAATGCTATGACATATTTTAAGTATAGAGATAAATGCTCTTATCACAATTAAGTCAACCATCACTAATGTGTAGTGAAGCTTTAAAAATAGCTAGATCTAGGGCCTTCCCTGGTGGCACAGCGGTTGAGTGCTGGGCTGCGAAGCTGCCCGCAGCCTCTGCAGTGCCGGTTCAATCCCCGGCCACGGGGCGAGGGTCCAACATGGCGCGCAGACCTCTCCTGCCGCCCGCTGCTTCCCTCAGCAGTGTATTTCATCACTCTGCCTGTTCTGCTCTCCCCTCTGGCTCTGGTGAATTCTCTCACCCTCCCATGCTTCTGACTGTACCCAGTGCTTTTATAAATAAATTAATTTTAAAAAATAAAAATAGCTAGATCTAAGAGAGAATAAGATATGGTTATAAACTCGAGGTTTTTACAATCTTTCCACCCAACTCACAGAGCTACGTCAGGATCTTAGAAACTGTATGAGCCTATAATAATGAAATTTGACAAGAGAGAAACAGAGGGCAAAGAATGTGGGACTGTAGATACCAGGTGTTTATAAGAGGAGTCTGGATTCTTTATAAGCGAAATCACACATGACTTAAAATCAGCCTTTTTCTCAGCCTCACTCTCCCCAATAGTTACAGCCCATTCTCTCCCTGAAGAGCCAAATTGTCAAAAGATGGTCTATACCGATGGTTCTCAAAATATGATTCTCAGACCCAACACCAAAGTCTAAGAGCCATGAGGGGCTTTTCTTCCTCATCATTCTTGAGTCACATGATGTTGAGGGTCAACATGGTATGACTAAATCTACTTTCATTCCCTATAGCCAAGCACTTTATATGAGATGACTTTTTTTAAGTTAGTTTGAAGGGATTTTGAAATGAAATCTTATTTTCCCATCAGCTAAGATACTCTTGTTAATATCATTTTGTTAGAAACTCACGTATAATTAGTAATGCAAGCCTCACATTTTAAGATGTGTGTCCCAGTATCCTTATCAGAGAGTTGATGATCTATCAAGCTTTCGAGTGTACTAGGAAAATTTGATATTTTAAGGAAATGCGTGTTTTTTTGGTAAATGGAAAAATAATTTGCAAAGTATCCTGTCCCTAATCAATTAGTTTTTAGTCAATTTGACTTATATCAATATCAATACCTATATTAAATGAGTGAATGGAATTCTGTATGTTTTAAATATGGGTAACCTACCTCTTTCTTTAAGATCTTCAATATAGGCTTTCATAAATTCTTTATCAAAATGTTGGCGATCTTGTTCACTTTCCACCATTTTGTCATCTTCTTGACACTGATTATTATCAATAGGATTATCCATGAGGCTTACAAATCTATTCAAGAAAGTATGGAAAATACCACATTTTTAACTGTAAGATTCCTCTCATAAGTAGTTGATTTTTGTGATACTAAATTCCAATTCCTTACTTATTCTTCAAAATCTCAGTGTACCATATAATATTAGCATTGTCAGTGGAATTCCACCATGGAATAATCCAACAGAATTATGGGATCGGGTGAAGGGAGAGTCTGTTTAAAGTTTAATGGGGATAGGAGAGACACATCACAGAGGCCAGTGGGCGGGAGGCTTGGAGGTGACAATGACACTTTCAGCCAGATCCTTAATATTGTACAATGTCCTGTATTTGATATTACTCTCAATTAGTGACATCAAACTCTAAAGGGATATGGGTAAATTAAAAAGGACTTAGACAAAATCCCCACAATAGCAGTATTTAAAAGACAGACTACTACAAAACAGAGAAGAGGGAGAGAGAGAGGGAGGGAGGGAGGGAGGAAGTGGTCTCAAGAAGAATAAGTGTTAAATATGTGGTCAATCCACTATCATTAATAGAGCATTTCTTATTCTTTTTATAGTTTCTTTTTGATGTAAAATTTGTGGCTTAATCTAGGTTATTTTTGGTATGCTATTTTATATATATATATATATATATATAAAGCTTTCTAAAAAAAAAAAAGAACTTTTTAAAAAAAAAGGGCCTCCCCTGGTGGCACAACAGTTGAGCGCTGGGCTGCCAAGCTGCCCGCAGCCTTTGCAGCACCCGTTCAATCCCCAGCCGCCAGCGAGGGTCCCACATGGTGCGCAGACCTCTCCTGCCGTGCCATGTGGGTATCTCCCATGGCCAGGGATCAAACCCGCGCTGCAAGGGCTGCGGACAGCTTCACAGTGCTACGCTCAACTGCCTGCGCCACCAGGGAGGCCCCAATGATCTCCGCCTTTAAAACACAGGTAAACACCCTTTAAATACCAGAAAAGGCAAGTTCTATCACATTACTAGCAATTATCATTACTAGTCCTAGCTTTTTGTCTTTCAAATATACCTTCAACTTGGTTTTTCAATTTCCAAAAAAAAAAATCACATTGGAGTTAGGATTGGCATATTACAGCTAAGTATAATTTGGGGCACAAATTACATTTTTACATCCAAAAAAAGACCTCTTTTCATCCCAAGAAGGACTTCTTTGATATCCTTTCAGAATACTTCTGAGTTCTCTTCATATAGGAGAACCATATTTTCTAGGGTTTTCCCCAGATATTTTATATTTTGGGTTACTCCTAATAATGTCAACATTACTTACATTATTTTTCTGGTTTTTTCATTATTTTATTTTTTTATTTATATCTTTTATGTCATTGTGTAGTCCCCATAAAATCCCCACCACCAGTTCATCCATGAACCATCACCATAGTCCCCTGTGCTCTTCTCTCCCCTGTTGTGATCCCTTCTCCTCACCTCCCTCACAGAATATCTCTGATTTCTGGTTGCCTGCTAATTTTTTTCCATTATTTTTCTAAGAAATCAGTAAGCTATTGAGTTTTAATACCAACTTGTATCTAGTCTTTCTCCTGAACTTTCATAATTCTGAGAGCTTCCATCTGCTCCTGGGTTTCCAAGCCCTACTGTGCTATCATTTGATCATTTGAAATGACTGGTTACCTGCACATAGGTCAGCTGTGCCCTGACCAGGTTCCCCTCCCATGCTTGGGTAAGACACTGCTCCAGCTGCTCCTGGCTGCTGGGCTGTGGAGGAGGCTCTAGGGGTGGGTCCTTGCTGGTTGAACCTCTTCTTACCCAGACAACATTCCTAAGAAGACCCACCCCAGTGGGAAGAATTGGGTGACAAAGAGGAGAGAAGGTATCATTCGCCCCTGCTAATCTCCTGGTTATATAGGAATGAATTTAGTATCTCTCACTTTACAATACTTAACCTCTTTGTTTCCTTTGCTACGCATCTTATTGCAGAACTGGAGGGTGTATGTGGCTAGTGAGCCTTTACCACTGAGAGAACAGGGGAATGCTCCCCCTAGTGGAAGCCTGAAGGAACAACTGGCATTCAACCAAGACGCGGCACCAGGAGTAGGTGGCTCTCACTAAAGCTGTAAGGTTCCTGGGGAGGCTTCAAGTTTCTGAGAATGGGCCAAAATGGTCCTAGGGTAGAGGTGATCGAATAACCCCAAAGCCCTGAATTCTGGCAGGTAAAGCTAACTGAGAGCCAAGAAGATGTGCCTGGAGTCAGTCAGAGGAAGACAGAGCTAAGGCTTTTCAAGTCCACTTCTAAGTCAAGAAAGATCTTCCAATTCCCACCTCAGAGTAGAATCTGTATCACATTTGCATGCATGGAGTTTCTTAGTTTGGGGTGGTTTACATGTCCTTTCAGGAAACCCAAAGAAGAGAGAGGCAATCGGGGGATTCAGCAACCATGAACCCTGCTAGCCAGCAGCCCTTTGAGTGCTGAGGACAGACCAGGAGCCTGAGTATGCCCGCTGTGCCTCCAGCCAGCAGGGAGCATTTTTTCCAATTCCTGCAAAAAAAGGCATCAGAACTTCTGTTGACCATCTCACACTTTGTGAGAGCCAGGTCCTGAGCCAGATGCCAGGGTTCCAGATGCACCTCCCTTCTTACCTAGGTTTGATGTGTCTCTACTACACTCTGGTCTACTCACTTTAAAGGTGTGGATGAGTCACAGAGAGTGGTCGGGAGCTCCACCAAGTGGTCCCCACTGACCACCAGCAAAGTGAGCTTCTTTAGGTTAAGCAAAGCATGAGGGAGATAGGTCAGCTTGTTCTTATACAAGAGAAAGGTCTGCAACTCTTCCAGCCTAAGAAGAATTAGAGGAATTAAACACAAGGGCTGGTTTCATGACTAAGAAAACCACAGTGAATTAAAATAAACTCTAGTATAAAATCCTTACTTAGTTCATTTTATAGACATGACCCTTATGAGAATAAATTGACTTTTTATGTTTTCAATAAAGTCATGCCACATGGCACAATTTGATTTTTAAAGCTTTTGCTGGCTTAACTGTCCATTGAAGACACAGACACAGCAGTAGGATGAGCATGATCTATATATAAGTATGATATATAGGAGACCAGGTGGGGCCTAAAAAAATCAGTATGTCCCTCCCCCTAAGAGCTTCCCCGCTTTCCCAGGTGTTAATGAGTCATGGGGAAGAAATTGTGCTAGAGTTGGAATGAGGATAAACAAATTTGCGCAACATATTTCTTCTGTGTATCTCAACAGTAGATATTCTTCTCCCATCATATTTTCTAGTTTGCAAGTAGGAAGAACTCTTCAGAGTGATAAGCAAATGAGAAGGATAACCTTTGTATATGTTTTACTGTTTTTCATTTTATTGTAATTCAATGACCTCCCTCCAGTTGATCCCACAAACATTTCACAAAGTTCTCCTTATGTTTCAAACTAAAACAATTCCCATTTGATTTCATCAAGTTGGAAAGCACTGATACACGTTGTCCGTACTGAGTAGAGAAAGGTCACACAAGATGGCATCAGAACTAAGCCGTTTGACTTCAGTGCCCTGCCAGCTTACTTATGCTACTTGATAAAGAAGACTCTGTGTGTGCCAGGAGGCCAGAGATTTTATTTCGTTCACCACTTTAAGCCCAATCCACTTTCTGGGCCTGCCATACAGGCCTCATAATATTGGTGGTAGAATGAATAAATTAATTAATCTTGCATGATTCAGTATAATAATTATGATTTAAACATGAAATAGCTACAAGGATATAATATGAAAACCCTCTAAGCATATCCATTTTGTTTGGAAGTATGTATGATAAATCAATAAATGAAACTAATAAAAATTACCCTCACTAATATTCTAAATATGAAATGGTATGTTCCTATTCCATTCGTAATAAATTTACTTTTCCAATTCTGTGGAGTAAAGGCAAATTAAAGGTGTGGTTCTATTGAGGACTGAAATGAATTAAGTTCACCAGAACAGGAAATGCATACACAGACATGTGCGTGCGTGTGTGTGTGTGTGTGTGTGTGTGTGTGTGTGTGTAATGCAGACTAGAAATTGTCTTATTCAATATAAAACCAAACTAATTTCCTGGAAACAAAAAGCTCTGGAAAATTGGTGGATTTCAAAGAACATTCATGTGCTGTGCATGTTTAAAATGTTAACAGTATGTAAGGATTTGTAACTAATTCATACACCTCACCTTCAGAATTCAAGTAGCTACCTGTCTATGTCTTGTGGCAGGTCAGTCAGGTTATTGTTGCTGATATCCAACCACTGCAAACTAGACATCCGCAGGACACAGATCGGGACGCTGGAAAACTGGTTTGCTGAGATATCTACGAATGTAACTTGCTTCAAATTACTTAACTAGAAAGAAATAACAAAATATTCTAATACTTTCATAAGAGTGGGAATTAAGTACAACTAATAACTTTTAAATTGGCATTTCTTCCCAAAGGCATTTGTATGAATAGATGCAAAACAAATCATTCCAGTGTATATTTGGGAGCACCCACTATGTGCCACTCACTATGCAATGTGCTGGGGGTGCTGAGATAAACAGCACAGAAGTTTGTAATTTCATAAATAAGTGATATAATTTTATGTAGTAAGAAATAATGTGAAGAAGTTTTCAACTTGGCATGTGCAATGGATACCAAGAAATAAATCTGCCCAACATCAAGGTAAGGGGAGGGTCAGTGGTCAGGAAAAAATTCACAGAGAATGGAGTATTTGAGTTCCCTGAGGTCCCTGGACAGGTGGAAAGTTAGGGAAGGAAACCCCAGTGGAACAGCATGTGCAAAGTCACAGAAGACAGCATGTACTGCCAGAAAGAGCAGGATGTCCTGGGAAGACTGACTTAGCAAATTTTGGCAAATCTTAAGGAGACTTGCTTTTGGTAAAGTGCCATAGCAAATGATCAGAAACACCTACTGTTTATGTCTTACATCCATATTTTTGTTTTCAGCACAGTAACTGAAACATGTAGGGAATTTCAAATGCAAACCTAGAAATATGACTGGAATGGAAATGTCTCATGCTAGAATTTGGTTATGCAAATTTGGTAGAAACATGAACTATAAAAGGAGCCGCCTTTTACTGACTTATTTCGAGAGTCCACAAGTAAAATTTGGGCTCCTTCACAAAACATATTTTCAAAACTCGTACGCCACGTGGAGCCACTCACTGTACAACATGGAACCAGCAGGAGGCATTAACAAGAGGGAGAGAAGAAAGCCTCAGGGAACTTAGGCCTCTATTTGTCTTAATATAACATGCAGTTCCATATGGCCAAGTTTCCCTGAGTAAGACACGGTCAGATTCATTTGACTGAAAAGGCACAATCTAATTTGCTCGTTTTAAATTTAGAAAAATGAATGTGAAGACAGTACAATGACGGTAAAGGAAGCCAACAAAGATATTTTGGGTACCCATAATGGAGACTAATGTTTCTGACTGTATTGTCAGGGCGATCAGGTCAGAATAAAAAACAAGACTGAATTACCCTCAGTCTCACGTCCTTCTTTCTTATAATAAATGCAGAAAATGTGCTTATAGGCTATAAAATAATTATTGAGACTCCTTAATAAAATAACTTAAAACTTTTAAAATTTAGAGTACCAAAAATCACAGTGGCATACGAGCAAGGAGAAAAAGAGCTCGGCTAGAAAAGCTATTTCCCACCAGCCACTTTCATCAAGGGTAAAGTAAACACGCATAAATGCTTTTGAAAAGTATGTTTGTCTGAAATTCCAACGTTGCCCAGCTAAAAATCTGACATTCAGAGTAAGTGGAATGTGCATTTACACAGAAGTTTCAGGATCTTTACCTTTGTCTCTGAGTTCGTGGTGGTGCCTTCCCTTGACCATCTATAGGGCATTCATTCTACTTGCTGTGCTTTTAAATTTTAGACCAAGGTTATATCAATTATTTATGTAAGAAACATTCTCATGAAGACAGGCACAAAAACTTGAATATACTCAACACTACTGAACTGCTCTCTTGAAAATGGTCAAGATGGTATGTCTAATGTTACATAATTTTAACCACACTTCTTTTTTTTAAATGTCAGCACCTAGGTATGGTATTCAGGCCCAACAGGGCTCTCCTGGGTCTGTGGAAACTAGAATGGAGGTGAATGTGTGTCTAAACTAGAATGTGTGTCTCTTCTAGAGAAATACAAGTTGGGCACATGAGATTCAGGTACCCTCACAGACGATACTACCCTTAATATGACCATGTAGTCTGTCCTCAGCTACATAGCTGTTATTTACCTTGAATAAGCTACAAACTGAACTGGTAGCTGACATTTAAGACAATAGAGAATCATTCAGGACTAAATTTGTGAAGTTATATATGGGCAGAGTCAGGGAACTATTATAACAAACAGCCTAAGAGGGAGATGAAACATAACGCACATTTATATGATCCCATACAACCTTAAAGGTTCACATCCAGAGCACAGATGTCAAGGTAGGTCAGGAGAATCATCAATAAACTGTTGTTTTCCAGGAGAAAATAAACAGATTCCCGGTTGCCTAGTGCAAACAGGCAAGTCAGAATTTGGGGGGAAGGAGAGATGGAAACATGTTAAAACTGAATTGTGGTGAATTGTACATTTACAAGGAGTGAGTTGTATGTGTAAGTTATACCCCAATAAAGGGGGGAAGGTAGAGGTCAAGGTGGAGACCGACCTAGGCTATTGTTCCAGGCTAGATGGAGGTTGACACAGGCTTGGACTAGGGCTGTTGGAAGGTCACCGGCAGCAGTTAGATACAGAACCTACTCTGAAGGGCTTACAAAGTGGATATGGGGCAAGGGAGCAAGAGAGGCCAAAATCACATGGCTTGTTTCCAGAGTGAACAACTGAGAGAAGTCTGAGCCATTTTCTAAACTGGAGAAGACTAGGGAGTGAGCCGACTTGTAAGAGAGCTCAGACCCTGACTGTGCACACTCACCTGGACCATTGGGGGAGTTTCCTGGGGTGAGATGGGAACTAACAGAAGCAGCCACTTCCTCCCACCCAAAAGTTTTCAGGATAGGAAACTAACACCCCTTCTGGGACTAAATTCAGGGCCAGAGCCTCCTCAGAACCTCTCCAGAGCTTCTGCTTGCCGTATCAGTGCCAGGATCATGAGTGGCTTCCAGCTTGTTGAGTTATATTTGGCAATAAATAAAACTCACTTTTATATGTTCACTTCTATATGTTCCATCTTATCAGAAAATGGTTTAAAATTATTTCCCCAATGAATGCAGGCCAAAAGAAACTAATACATACGTTTTACTTAATGGATTTCTTAAACTCTATCTGTGGGACTACTTCAGTTACCTACAAATTTTATTATGAATATATAACCATTTTTTAATCTTACCCCTTTTATTTCCAACTGTCTCTATTTCACCACTGTGAATAAATAAACCAGAATCTGAGTTATAAACAATGGGCATCATATATTAAATAGACATTAAATAAAACTATCTTGTGTGAATATAGGGATTTTTCCTCATTTTCCTTTGATAGGATTTCCAAACTTAAAGTTAGGTGCTGGGCTAGCATGAGCAAAATGTCAGGAAAATGTGATGTAATAAATATGGATTTCACCTGTAAAACTTCTTCTCCAGATTATAGACCATTCCATGTCAAAAATCAAATAAAAGTAAATTATAGAGCAAAAATGTTTACTTTCTTACTTCAAAAGGGAGTTCAGTTAATTCTAGATTTCCAGAACAATCCAGTTTCTCTAGATTTTCACAATCTCCCAGTTCTGGAGGAATGCTCTGCAGGTGGTTGAAACTCACATTGAGCTCTCTCAGATTCTTCAAACGACCTATCATCAGAAAAAAATGAACATCCATGGAAAATGTCCTGTAAGGTCTTTTACGAACAAAAATGAAACAAAGATGTGTAGCTGATGATGGGAAAGGCATTATACACAATTTTATATTTTTTAAAGCCCTCTTTATTAAAAGCCTGATGATTTTTTTATCCTGAGTATGTTGGCCCTGCACTGAAGCATTTTTTGCTTATTTTTAACTGTTCAATCTTTTGTGGAACGACAAGTGAGGTGAGTGTGAGGGGGTTGTCCATGTTACATGGTCAAGTTCCAGCACCCACAGAACACTAACAAGGTAGGTCAGGCAAATAATCAATAAACTGCTGTTTTCCGGAGGTGGAGTGGGAGGAGGGGAAACAGATGCCTGGTTACCTAGTGTGAACAGACAAGTCAGAATTTAGGAGGAGGGATCAGCTTGAAGTCTTGACACAACCAGCAAGAAGTACAAAGTGCCAGGGACCAATAGGCCACCCGCCAGCCTATACCATCTTGGCGTCAGGCAAATCTTCACATGAGTATGACAAGCCGTGATTCTGGGACACATTTGAGAACGGAGCTCTGTGCCGCTCCCCAACCCTCACCCACACATCCCAAGAGAAAGTGAAACAGCAGTGATCACTGTGGTCTTCATTTTAAGATAATGGAACTGAACAACAAAATGATTGAGAATTATACAATTTTGATCATGACGACATAAGCTAAACTAAATGTGTCAATGGACCAATATATAGAAACGATATGTTGGAGGCCTCCCTGGTAGTGCAAGGGGTTAAGAAGCAGCACTACAAAGCTATCTGCAGCCACTGCAGCACAAGTTCCATCCCCAGCCAGGGAGCTACCCACATGGCGCAGCAGACCTCTCCTGTCTCACCCGCTGCTCCCCTCAGCAGTGTATTTCAGTCAGTCTGCCTGTTCTGTTCCCCACTCTGTCTCTGGTGAATCCTCTCACCGCCCCGCCCCATACCTCTGGCCTGTATCCCAGTTCTTGGATGCATAAATAAAATAAATCTTTAAAAAAAAGAAGAAATGATATGTTGTATTTTATGTTTACAATAAACATATTATCGCATGTTTCTATTTCTAAAGATGTTTCTGAAAGGAAATAAAAAGCCGTGAGGTACAACATTCTAAGGAGACTTATGTGCTGAGTCACACAGGTGACATCATGACCCAAAGTGGACAAGCAGCACCGGGAACACATGAATTGGGCTGTCCGGCAGTTCCCTGGGGCAGGAGAAGAAACAGTTTTCACAGGGCTGCTGCTGCCCCCCGCCCCCTGACTATGGTCCATTCACCAGACTCTGGGCCTAAGGATTCCTGCTAAGTAACATACCAATTTCAGCTGGAAGATGGGAGATTTTGTTTTTTTGCAGATCCAGAATTCTCATCGCCTGAAACAGCTCGATGTATGTAGGAATGATTTGAATCAGGGTATTGTTGATATGCCACTCTTTGAGGTGTGTTTGCTCTCTCAGGGAATCTGGGAGCTCCTGAAACAGAACGGATCACATCAATCAGAACCATCCCCCTAGGAATCCCAGCTGAGCGGCATGCCAGGTTAACCCTGCTTTTATATAAAAAGCTCCCACCAGCTCCAGGCAACCATAAATATTCACTCCCAGGGGAAGAGGGAACACGCCACCGCCATGAAATGGGGACTCTACAACAACACCCTTCCACCTGACACACACCCAAAGCTTCCAACCAGCCTGTTGGTTAGTCTAGACACCCAGTACCTCCAGACCTCCAAGAAAGCCCCAATCTGCCAACAAAGACAAGCACCCTGAAAGAAAAAGGAGTCTCTGCCACAAAAAACTCCCCCTCCCCCGCAAAAAAAGCTATTGACCCCAAGAGAGATAAGAAAAGCCATTACCCTGTGACTTGAAAACAAGACACATTTTTCAAAGGTCTGATTAAGAAATACATGTGAAAGTCAGCGTATGCAGCCCCATCACAGGATTCTCTCACTCACAAAGCAAACAGCAAGTTCGTGGAAATTAGACACTTGTGAGTAAAAATGAAAAACTATTGAAGAGTTAGAAAATAAAATGGAGGAAATCTCCCTGACAGAGCAGAATCCAGGGCCTGGGGGCTTCACAATCACCACAGGAATGATTCCCCCTCCCAATCCTGCCCTAAAGGGTCCCCTGAGGATCTGACCCGACCTGACTCCAAGGTTCCAGAAGCCACATTCACCTCTGTCAGTGATCAGAACCCCCTCCCTGCCACCAGGCACATTAAGATGAAAACTCCCATCGAGCTTTTCAGCCCCTATTTAGAGGTAAGGCTGAAATTCAGGGCTCCTGGGGAGGAAACAGCCACTGAAGTCAATACAATTTATACTGATTTAACGATCCATACAACAGACATTAATACTAAGGCTCTGGTGCTCCCTCCCTGGGGTATTCCAAGTAGGGTACCTGTCTCAGGGAGCACAGTGAGGGACAGGAAGACTGGGAGCAATGAGGACACCATCCACCTAGCTCACCACAGCCTCCCTACTCCCCTTATCACACTAGGCATCATTAAATGCTCCTTACAATGATTTTCAAAAGGGCCTGAGAAGGCTTCCCCTGGTGGTGCAGCAGATGAATGATGGGCAGCTTCCTCTGCAGCACTGGTTCCATCCCCAGCCACCGGTGAGGGTCCCTCATGGCGCGCAGACCCCCCCTGCCGCGCCCACATCTCCGCTCAGCAGTGTATTTCGTCAGTCTGCCTGTTCTGTTCCCCGCCCTGGCTCTGTGAATTCTCTCACCCGCCAATGCTTCTAACTGTACCCAGTGCTTGTATAAATTAAAAAAAAAAGGGCCTGAGAAGCGAAAAGACTCCATGCAGGTTCTCCAGAATAAGCAGTGTCCTCATACCCACTGACTCAGTGATGTAGGAGACAGGCCCAAGGAGGTGTTCTAATGATCATCTCTCCCCTTTAGTGGGTGTGCAGCTAACAGTCAGCCTTATAGACTGTTCCCTCATTTAACCCTCACAACAGCCCTCAGAACAGGTGAGAACCAGAGTTAGCACCATTTTTCACTGAGGAGATAAAATGTATAAAAGTGGACTGAACTGTTCCAGATTGCAATGCTAAAAAAGAACAGTACCAGTACTAGGGACCTCCTCAAATATTCAGTCTCTCATCCCAACACTCTCAATCACAAAATGGGGGTGGGGAGAGAGGAAAATGAGGGGGGCAGGTCCCACAAGTCCTGTCCCACTGCAATGGGCCAGCACCTGAGTGCCTCTGCCCAGGCACACCTGGGCTGCCAGGAAACTTCAGGCAGTAGACAAACCCTGGAGCTTTCTTTCCTAACAAGGCAGCAAGTTGGGGACAATGTGGTCATCTGAGGGAAGAGAGAAGGGTCCTCAGGATATGAGAAGGCATCCTGCCCAAAGGGGCTGCCCAAATTCCTATGCCTGCTGCTCTCCCACCTGAGACAATGCAGCAGTGACACCCTTGCTCAGGAATGTTAGATTAGTGAAAGGCTCTATTCCTATTTTATTTTTTAAGGCAGAGAGTTATTTTAAATGTACAAGCGAAAGAACAAAATAAAGCATTTTAAAGACAGTGCACGCGGGGGGAGGGCCGCAGCTTGGCAGAGATGCCAGTGGAGCCACTGCGCTCTCCACAGTGGAGTCTTGCACGGAGGAAGACACCCACAACATCTTCACTCACAAAACAGACAAGTGCAGCTCATCAGTCCTCCCCATGCAAGGAAAGTTCTGGAAAGGCGAGGACTCTTCTTCTCGGACGACAGCCACGGCCAGGAGCACCCCTCAGCAGCCCACGTCCACCCGTCCATCGCAGAGCTGCACTCAGCGTCCAAGAGATGCACCTGCAGAAACTCAGGGACTCACCTTCCACTGCTCGCCCGAAAGTTCAAACACAAACTTGCTGCGCCTTTTGTCTCTCTCCTTGGAAAGTGTGCTCTGCCTCATGAGAGAATTCTTTTCAATCTTTTCCAGGAGTCTCACGTTGGTGTCGGTGATGCCATTCTTGCTGTAGGCAGCTTGGGGGATGCCTTTCCTCCTGCACTCGGCCACAAAATTCCACTCCTCCTTTATCCTAAAAGGAGCGGCAGAGGCCACAGTTACTTCCCTGAGGAATTGCCGGCACCTGCCTGGAGAAACCCATCAGGCCACCTGGGCGCAGGCTCAGTTCTTCCCGCTACAGGCGATTTCCTCCTGTGCAGACTTCAGGAGAGGAGAGTGGGGGTACTTCCCTCCTTTCTTGTTCTGTCTGCCCTGGGGTATGTGGGAGAAATCGTAAACCCTCAGAGTTGCGAACTATTAACAGCTCTGACTTAAAAGCAGAGGAGGTAAGTGGGATAGAATTCCTGGCTAAAATTTCTACCAAAATGATCTGTGCCTTTGATTAGTTACAACTGCCTTTGATATTTCATGGTGGTTCCCCAGTTTTCTAAAATGCAGGGGCACCGGAATCTGCCAGTCTTTCAAGGGAATAGGCATGAGTAGAAATAAATATATAGGCAGCCCTGGTTTCTAAAATATGACTTTAGAATGTCAGCCATCAGCCACCTTGGGAAATTTCACTCCCATGCACAAACCTATTACTTATACACTCCAGGTTCACTCACTAGATCTGACTCAGGACCTTCCCCAACACTCCTCAGTATCTTCTTTCCACCAATTTCCTGACCTGTCATTGTACAGCTTCCTGCAGTTATGACTCGTCCCCCCAATTTGGTCATAAGCTCGCTGGTGATAATGGACATCATCTTGCTGCCCTCTGGATGCCCACAAAGCTGGATGCAGAACAATCGATACATTGGCTCTTATAACTATGGCTGCTTCCTTCATGGGGATCAAGTGTTCATCTGGGCAGCAACGTGACAGCTCTGAAGCCCAAGAAGGCAGTGTCACTCACCGTGATAAGCCCTAGAAGAAAAACAGCCCCTCCACACCCTGATTGCTGCCGGCCTGTCCCTGTTTGCTGAAGAAGCTAAAAGGTGAGCAGAGAAAACACATACTTCTCCAACGCACTTTGCTCCAGCCGTTCTGCCTCCTTCTTCTGCCAAGCTTTGTGCTTCTTGACACGAGTTTCCCACAAGCTTCTGATGACAGAAATGTCAAACACGACCACTTTATGTCCCATTTTGGGAGCATGAAATTACCTATTTTTAAAAAAAAAGTGTGTATGTCAGCTTCATAGATGCAGGCACACAATAGTTTTCAAATGACCTTTAAAATGAACCATGAATCAACCAGTGGTCTGCAGCCAAGATGGAAATCCCTGTTTATATGTAGGATGGCGGTTTGCCAGTGTTCTCCAGGCCTGAGTGCACTGTGGGTACATTCAGTACCCCAGGGTCATCCTATACTGGCATCCTTGCACCCCCTCCCAACCCCCAGATGTGCTGTGGGTTCCCAAAGCCCCCTGAGCATTCTCAAGCCTCGGGTTGTACATTCTATTGCACTAACATCTAATCTTCCTAGTATGTTGTTACACATCAAGGGTAAATTTAATGTGTTAATCCCAACACACACACACACACACACACACCCAGTTATCCAAGGTTACATTTCAGCCATCACATCATTTAAGTAACAAAGCCAAACACTGCACCAACCCCCTGAACACTTTTGCTCCTGCAGCAGGTCACGTGGCCTGGGCGAATGACCTGTGAGCTTTCCCGTGAGCACTCAGCCCTGCTGCAGTTTTCTGAATACATGAAAAGTCAGACTCAGGAAAATCCTGGCCATCACATCTCAGTGAGACCTTCTTCCTCCTCCCCCCAATGTCTGGCACTCAGAACACCAGAGATCATGTGGAGGGAGGGAGGAGGCAGGGAGTGAATAGATGAAGTGAAAACTAAATAAAAGGTTGCATCCAGACTGCTTCTCTCAGGCCACTCAATGAGCTCTCTCTCCTCTTTTTAGTTCCCTCATCATTATTATTCAAGTGATTACTTAAGTCACTGTAAAAATAATCAAAACACAAAGTGATTTCAATATTCATTCCATTCATTATTCCCCTTATCTAAAGAAAATAACTTTCTAGACATTGTTTTAAACATCCCCTACCTACAGCATAGACATCTGGATAAATCCATTTCCAGAGTTGCACAGTCAGTGGGCAAATAGCTACAGCTGGCCATGTGGACAGGTGCTAGGAGTAGAGGGGACGAGGACTGTGGATGCCAGTGCCAGCCTGCTCCAGCAGTGCCCACGTGCCAGACAAAAACCCACGCTGGGGTCAGTGTGCTGATCCCAGCAATGAGATTTAAAATCCTTTGCCTTGATGAGTAGTAGTATACCCACAGATTCCGTGACATTTTTCCTTTTGAAAGGTAGAGCTTGGGTCCTCTCTCTGAGTGTGGGCTGGACCTAGTCACTCCATTTAAGGACTGCGGTAAAAGTGATGTGTGACTTCTGAGACTAAGGCCTACAAGGTATTGCCCTCTCCCCCCCTCCCCGCCTCCCTTCCTCTCTTTCTCTCTGACCACTCACTCCAGGAATTCAAGCGGAGTGGACACCATGTGGACACACACTCATTCCCACTCTGATTCATCCCCAGAGTCTCAGAGGGCACGTGTTCCTCACCAGCCAGCATCACCCTGGCCTACTTGTGCAGCAGGCTCGTGGCTGGTCTCCTGACTTCCTACTCACTCTTGTACAATCCACTTGCTACACAATAATGAGTCAATTTTCAAGCATGCTGCCACCTGGCCCAAGTCCTCCAGAGCCTTTCCTCTGGAGTAAGAGGGCGATCTCAACCCCATCCCGGGCCCAGTAAGCATGGCATGATCTACCCAAGGCCAGCCCACCTCACCCCGGCCTCTCTTTCCCTCCCTGCAGGACCACCCCACACTCCTCCCCATGGCTGCTCGCTCCTCTCTCTCCTGTGGTGCCCCCCACCACAGCTTCGGTGGTCTCTCCTGAGCACAGCCTCCTCGGCTGCGGTGGATCTCCCTGGGATTCTCTCGGCCTGTTGCTTATTTTCTTCATAGTGCATAATATGAGTTGAATGGTTGGTCATTTGCTTAATCACCCTTTATCTGTCCATGGGCTGAGCTGAGAAGAGCCAGGTTTACCAGCTGGAGCAGCACCTGAGACACCCCAGCCTCGGGCTCAGAGCCTGGTCTCCTCAAGTCAGCCACCAACACTGAGCAGTAACAGAACAGGGGGAGGGGAGGGGGCTTCGAGGGCTGCAGGTGCCCAATCCTGCTTCTGATCCTCCACACAGAACACTGTGTGCTGAGCCAGTTTACTTGGTGAGTATCTCTGCCCTTTGAGTCCTGAAACCCTAAATAAGTGACATTTATGGAGACTCATTAAATGCAGAAAGAAAAATGTCCTTGCCAATGAGATCTCCATCTAGAGGGGCAACAGATGCTTAAGGGGATATACATTTCAATGGCGCGTGTAGATTCAACAAGAGATTGAATGAGCAGCTGTGGGAGCAGAAGGGGGACAGGATGCCCTCAAGTGTGTGTGTTGGGGAGGGAGGTTGAGGATAGAGGAGCAGGGATGATGAAAAAAGGAGGAGAAAGTACCAGCAATGAGGTTTGGTTGAATAATTTCCCACACTCCCTCCCAACCCAGTTTTCTCAGAATCACTTTACAGAACCATCCACTATGCCCAGCCAGAGGGCATGACTGGAAAAACATGTTCCCTGGCACCAGAGCTCTAGTCTCAACTCAGAAGTCATAAGCCAGGGTTCCAGGCAGGCGGGCAAACTTTCTGGCCACCTAGTCCTCTCCTCTCATGTCAAAGGACCTGGGGCGGGGGAGGGAGGCAGCATAAAGTGGGGCCAAGAGAGGCTAATAACACAGAATCCTGAGAAATATTGGGGGAAACTTCAAGGAGGCCCAAGCAAGTCCACAGTGCTTGATGCTCCCTCTGCCAGGCTAGGAGGTGCTCCCTCTGCCAGGCTCCCTCACACACACTTTTTCTTTCTTCCTTTCTTTCTTTCTTTGGTAATTTGTTAAGCTAGAAATAAGGCAACGGGTACAGGTAGGATTAAGGGGCAATATCAGGGCTGGGCTGGAGTCCTGCCTCCTGGCTTATGTTGGACATCCCAGATCTTTCCCTAACCTCTCTGAGCCTCGCTGATGCCATCTGGACATAGGGAAGGCAGCCCCCAGCTCACAAGACTGGGAAGAGGATCACAGGAAATCACCTGTGTCAAGTGTATAAGACAGTACCTGGCACAAAGCAAAGCTGCAAAAAGTCAGTTAATTAAAGAAAAAAGACAGAAAATTAAGACAAACTCACAGTCACCAATTAAATAGAAGAGTGAAAAAAAGGTACATGAGCACCTGAGGATTTTTGCCCACAGGTTCTTAGCAAAGGTTCTTGGTAGAACGCCTGCTGCTGTACTGTGGGAGAGGGGCTGGTGCAGCAGAGAGGCGGGTGGCACAGAGGAGCTGCTTACAAAGTCAGGCAATTTTCCCTGAGTCTCTGGTCCTTTTCCACCGCACTGGGACACCAGAGGGCCAGGACCGTCCAGGCAGGAAAGACCCCTCCAGTCAGAGGTCAGTCATCCCTTTCAAGGTGAGGACACAAAGTTGATTTCTCTCCCCGGGACAGCAGCTGGTCCAAGTGTTCTGAGCTCAGCCTTGGGCACCAGGGCACATACTAGCAGTCACCCACCAACCAGAAGCAGGCGTCGTGGGAACCGACGCCCAGGTTTCTCCTTCCCCATTCAGCTCCAGTTCTTGCCCCAAACCACAAATGAAAGTGTAATCCTCAGCCCCGCGAGCCAGGAGGGGTGTTGTCGCCTGTCCTGCCACCCACTGAGGCAGAGACAGCAACAGCCCGCACAGCGCGCTGCGCCAGGCACCCGGAGGGCGCCCCAGCTTCCACCTGCGGCCCCCTGCATCCCGAGCGGCCTCCCACTCGCCCGCCCCCCTCCCCGGTCACCTACCCGCGACTGCGCGACTCCCAGCCGAGCCCCTGCCCGCGCCTGCCTCGGGGAGTCGGGGCTGCGGAGCCTGTTTACACCCGCAGCGGCCACACGCTGGAGCAGGAAGCCATCCAACTGCCCGAGCCTCCCCGCCTGTGCGCTAATGGGCTATATTTGTAAGCTGATAATATGAGCTGCAGGACATGTGCTGATAAACTATCTATCTATTCTATGTGACTCAGCCCCGCCTGAGACAAACCAGATTTCGTCGGGCGCTCTGGCTCACAGCGCACCCCAAGCCGGCCAGTTTGAGCCCAGTAACCCGGGATTACCTGCCTCCACGGGAGGGCGGGCCTGGTGCCCTGCAGGGCCCACGCAGCTAAATAAAACAGGCCAGAGACCAGCACCACAGTCCCTTGTGCAAGGGGCTATAGTGATGGTGCCCGGGTGAGTTGGTGGGGTGGGAATTTCACGGGGAAATTATACATTGTGCAAATATGAAGAATGTAATACATATATAAAGAACTGCTTAAAAAAAAAAAAAAAAAAAACAGTCCAGAGAAGGGAGCGCTGGTGTTCTCTGCCCTCTAGGGGACCCTGCAGAGAACGGGATAAGAAAGCCATCTGACCAAGGATGTAAACATTTTTTCAGCTGTTTGAAGCAACAGATGTCAAAAGTCTTGATTTCATCCTTACATTTTTTTTTCTTTTTAATTTCCTAAAATGTGTGTGAGGTTAGGTTCTCTTTAGAGATTTCACAAATTGGGCAAATATGTTTTGCTAATATCAAATATTGTGACAATTTGACAGTTAATCCACACAATGCTCCCCTTCCTGTCAAGGTCTCCTCAATATCTTCATCCTAAAAGAAAGAGAAAAACACCTTTTGTCTAATATATACAAAATAAATGGCTTGATTTTGGAAGATTGTTTTCTATATGGCATGTTTTTATTTATAGTGTCTAATTAAATTATCATTTTCTTTTTTAAGATTTATTTTATTTATTCATACAAGCACTGGGTACAGTCAGAAGCACGGGAGGGTGAGAGAATTCGCCAGAGCTAGAGCGGGGAGCAGAGCAGGCAGACTGACGAAGAAGTACACTGCTGAGGGGAGCTGCGGGCACAGCGGGAGAGGTCTCCTGAGCCATGTGGGACCCTCTCCTGGCAGCCGGGGATCGAACTGGCGCTGGCAGAGGCTGCAGGCTGCTTCACAACCCAGTGCTCAACTGCTGCGCCACCAGGG